ACCCTACCCTCCCTTACGAGACCCCTCCCCTGCACACTGACCTTTGACAGGCTCTGTTGGGACCTGTGAGGAAGGTCACACTTGTCTGAGCCGAAGTCAGCAATGGCCGAACAAGTTTGGTGACAGGCCTCATTCTCGCCTGCAGTGCTTATTAATGTTTGGAGGCAATCATGCTCTGAGGAGCGGACTGTGAGAGAAGCTGACAGAAAGTCCAAGACACCTTGGAGACGTGAAGTGCCTTGCTCAAGGTCACAGGGCTGCTGAGGTTGAGACTGAAGGCTAGTGTCTCTGGTCAGGAGGGGTTACCCTCCCTTTTGCTGGGTCTCCAGCTTCTCAGGGGCTTCCCAGATGGCGCAAGTGGTAAAGAATCCATCAGCCAATACAGGAGACGCAAGAGACACAGGTTTGATTCCTGGCTCAGGACCTACATCCCCTGGAGGAGGAAACGGCGACCCACTCCAGTATCCTTGCCTGGAGAATCCCATGGACAGAGGAGCCTGGCGGGCTTCAGTCCACAGGGTCTCAGAGAGTCAGACACGACTTAGCAACTGAGCACGCACACACGCACAGTGCAGACACCAGCTGCTCAAGCTCAGCAGTTGAACTTCCGTAGGTGGAGGAAGCTGAGCAGGCCCCCACAGCCTTGGACGGTGAACAAAGAGCTCATAAAAATCAGTGACCAAAACAGCTCCTGCCTAAAGGACAAGATGCAAGCTGATAAGCAGATCAAGAAGACAGCAACTAACAACAAACTAACCTGTCTAAGGTGAGGGCTCTCGAGGCAGCCTACCCCTAGATCGTGGAAACAGAACACAGCACACAGCAAACCTCAGTTCTGGATACAGCTCTTCATGCTGTGATTCATCCACTAATCACCCTGGGGGTTTCCCTGGCACTTCCACTTCCACTAGCGGTTAAGAACCGCATGCTTCCCCTGTAGGAGGTGCAGGTTCAATCCCTGGTCGGGGAACTAAGATCCCACTGCAAGTTGCAGCCAACAACAACAACAAAAAACCATTCTGTTTTCTAGCCAGTTCAGCCCATTAAAGCCACTCACGGGTTGAGAACTTATTGTGCACAGGGCCCTGGACTAGATGTGGAGTGTCGCTGCACCAGACAAGTCAGTAAAGTAGCCAAACCAGCACAAAGGAGGTGCTCAAAACACCCCGGAATAAGTGAGGGAGCCAGAGAAGATCTTTAGTTTCATAAAAGAGACATGTGTTTGTACAACCTGAGAGTGACAGGCCCTGCAAGCAAAGAGTAACCCCTTACTTGACCATTTGCTTGACCAGCTTGCTTGGGGTTGCTAACCAAGGGTGGGAGGTTCACTGACTGACACATGAATGAATGAATGAATGAATGAATGAAAACCTTCCACTTCTCCAGCGTGGGCTGAGTCCTAACTTTCTATCCATTTCAGGGAGCTACCAGAAGTTCATATATCTGAAGGACTTATTTGAAGGGCAAGGGATTCTCCCCTCAAAATCCTCTTGAACATCAGAAGTTCTGATTGCCTAACTCCGCTACTGCACAGCTGAGGAAACAGAGGCACAGAGGCTCTATCCCCCTAGCATCACTGATGGCCGCAGCAAACTGCATTCCCAGGGCTTCCTCTTCTAGAAAGCTTGTGTTCTTGTGAGCTGGCACCCAGAAGTACAAGTGACAAGTAATGGATGCTCAGTTAATAAATGCTGTGGGACTAGGTCTCCCCATAATAAAGTCACTTGCTTAAAAGACAAAATGTCCATAAAGCTCAGGAGCAAAACGACATCCCCTCACAAAGGAGTGAGGTCTGTGGGAAGGGCCTCCAGGGAGCCCCTCTCCTTGGGGACCCGGGGTTGTCTCCAGGTGAGCTCAGGTCCTTCTCAGTGGCAGGCTCTGTCACAGCACCTCACCTCAAGGATCCGGGGTCCACCCCTTACCACTACCTGACCCCTACACTCGTCAGTCCAGAAATATCAGTGAGCACCTACTGCCTGCCAAGCACTGGGGAAACAACTGTGAACAAAACAGCCAAGACTTGGCCCCATGGAGTTCACAGTCCATTAAGTAAGGTAGACACTAAAAAGATGATAACATATAGCATGAGAAATCATGCCAATGGATTATCATTTCTAAACCACAAGTCTGGCTCTATCAATCTTTTGATGGAAAAATCTTCCTAGGGTCCTCACGCTATGTGGAATTAAATATAAACAAACAAAAATGAAAACAGATACCTTAACTGGGGGCTTACTCCAGGCCAGGTGCCTGACTATGACTAACTCAGGACATGCCATTGTGGGAGGTACTATTATTATCCCCATTGATCAATGATGAATTAAAATTTTCTACTTAACCACTGCTCATTGTGTATGCAAAAGCCCACTCCCTCCAACCCTGAATTCCCTGAGAATGCATCTTACTTAAGTCACTGTCTCTGGTGCACACATTTATATTTCATAAATTCCCACTGAATGAATAATTAACTAATCAATGGGTTGGTTTCCTTCAAGGCATTATCAGTTAATAAAATCAATTTTGGGAACAAGTGCTCCTAATAATCACATGAGAAGTAGCTGCGATGTTGTGTAAAGAGCCAGCGCCCCAGTCCCTGCAGGCCTGAGACCAGGCTTGTTTGTGTGAACTCTGACAGTCATTTCCCCCTCAGACGTGACTGCTCCACACTGTCCTGATGAAGAAGAAACCAGACAGCGAGCCTAGGACCTCTGTCGGCTCTGCCTGTCTATGTGTCTGAAACATTATGGTGAGTTGGGGGCAGGGGCTGCGGCTCAGGAAGACCTCTGAAACTGCACTCTGCCTGCTTTAATAAGGTCTAAAGTTAAACATTTTAGGGAGGATAACTAATCAGGTCTATGGGGGCAAGAGAAGAACCTCCTCTCTGGCCACAGCTCCGTGGGCTTACTTATCCTAACCAAGTAGATTCATTCCCGTGACAAACAGGCTCAACCTGAAAGCCCCTTAGCAGGGAGGTATTTTGGATGAACATGGGTGGGACCATCACCCCCAACTGTACACCCGAGCAGAGGGGCTGGTGAAATGCAAGAGCCCATGTTCATACACTGGAGGCAGACAAAACCCCAAACACACTCTCCACCTCTACACTCTCCTCTGGGAAGGCCCCTGAGCATGGCCAAGGCCACCATGAACATGGGCCTGATGGCTCCATGTGGTCCACAAGCTATGACCACAGAAGAACTCACCACTGAGCAAGCGTGCGCCTGTCTGTCACTCAAAGTGAGAGCAATGGGTAGGAACTGGGGCTCCACGGCAAGACAGGGTATTTGTTAACTTTTCCCTTGTTGTTTGGGTTGTTTTTGAATCAATTTCTGTCCTTATGTCACCTAATTGACATAATGGGGGTAACAACACAACTCCCTACCTCACAGGGCTGTGGTGAGAATGAAATGAGCAACCCATGTGATCCACCCAGAGCCTGGCAGGCTAAACACTCAGATTGTCGCCAATGATGATGGCGATGGTAGTGGATGAACCCATTTGAGTAGGGAAATCCAAAGCAAGGCTTTTCTAACAACTCCTGCTAGGATCTGGAGAGAAGCAGGTGATCCTGGGATGTCCAACCCCAGAAGAGCAGACTTAGGAGCTTTTCAGAAGAGAAACAGAGAGGTGTCCACTCTTGGGCAAGACCCGAGTTGCCTAGGGGCCCTGGGGCTCAGGATAGTCACTGAGTCCTGTAAGGACTGACGCTTGCCAGGGCCACTGGGAAATGCAGAGACCTGAGAAGATGAACTTCCCAGAGTAAAGAGAAGGGCGACGAGAGTACAACCATGGAGAGATACCATTATTCACCCATCAGAGTGGCAAAAATCAAAATGCATGAAGAACGGAGGTGGGCAGAGAGGAAATCTGGTATCTGCTGGTAATTGGTGCTTTTTAGAGAATGAACTGGCAATATTTATGAAGATTTTAAACTCATTCACGGGGTAGCCAACAACTTCACTCATCAGTAACCACCTAAGACAACTGTCTGCCCATGTGCTTGGAGGCATAAACCAGAAAGTACATCAAAGCACTGCTATTAATATTAAGGGAAAAAAAAGAGAATCTACCCACCCACCAACAGGAAAACACTGAGATTCTTGTGCCATGGACCCAATACTCACTTTGCAGCAAAACAAGGTAGTTTCACATGTACTGTTTTGAAAACATTTAAAATCATATAATTGAATGTTTTACAAAGGGTACAGAATAGACCAGCAAGCATAGTAAGACAGACTGTTTTTAAAGAACAGGAAGGAAGGAAAGAATGACTTTTTTTCCTATGCATGTTGCCTGGAGAATTCCATGGACAGAGGAGCCTGGAGGGCTACAGTTCATGAGGTCGCAAAGAGTCAGACACGACCGAGCAACTAACACACACAGACACCTCGTAAAAGTTCTGGAAGGAAGTCCACAGTAGGTCACAGTGGTTACTTCTGGGAAAGACAGGAGTAGGGTATGCGCGAGGAATGAAATGGCGGGCGGGAGGCTCAATGGAGACTTCACTTTTATTAACTAGGAAAACTTATCCATGCATTTCTTGAGTATTTAAACTAATGCATTTATTTACAAGGAACAAAAAAAGAGGAGGTGGAAGGAAGAGGAAGAGATGATGACTTCAAGAGAAGGGTCTGCACTAAGGGTCTGCCTTCACCTCCTCTGCATTCACCACCAGCAAATGCAGAAACAACACATCTAAGCACAAGCCCATTATTTCTTGGAATGAGTGTCCTTGGTTTTTAGAATCAGGTATTTAATTCTGGACCTTATCAGTTCTATATACCAACTCTTCCTTCTAAATTTTGGAAAAAATTCCCTCATACTTGACAAACGTATCCTTCCTCTGGTGTCAGGAATTCAAGAAAAGGAAAGGGGACACATGGAAGTTTTGCAATCTCCAAAGTCTTGATGGCCTCCACTGACTTATAAAAAGTCCTGAACTGCACTTACTGTTGCATGTAAGAATTTTTTTTAATTTTAATTATTAAAGAAATCTTTACCTTTCTTTGTTTTCTTCCATTCCTCTAAAGGCACACTGATTCATTACTTTGGAGTTGTCCATAGATGCTGCGTCACAGATCCAGGTCTTCTTTCTGAAAAAGCAAAATAACCAACATTTATAACCTGGGTGCATTTATGTTAACACAAAGAGATACATTAAATACATACAAAAGGAATATGTCAAAGGCTGCCCAGTGTCCATCAAAATCCATTCTCCCTTTCGCCCACAGGTTATATGAGTTTTACCAGGGACTACATTTCCCAGGCATCCTTGCAGCTACATGCAGCCAGGCATGAGTTCCAACGGAATATGAGCGGATGTGATATGTTTCACTTCTCCATCTAGGTCTCAAGACATGGGCAAGCCTTGTTCATCCTTTCCACTGGCTGGAGCTCAGTTCTGACCATGCAGATGATGACAATGCACTTGGAAATAACAGAACAACAAGATAAATGGCACTTGGGCCTATGACTCTGCATGGAGCACAGGTGCCCTCTGAACTTGGAACCACTATCTTCAAGAGAAATGTCTTTGTTCTTTAAGTCACTTTAAGTTTAATAAAACTTTAAGTTCTACTGGGTCTTGTTCCTATGGCTGATAAACCCTCATCAAGTTGACACTATGGTTAAATACTTTCACTGGGGCCCTTCAGAGAGTGGGTTTGGTTATTTGGAGCTTGGGATAGTGTGTGACTACAGACACAATTGAGGCCAAATTACTTTGGGTCACAATTTTAGTAAAACCACACATCATCTCAAATAGGTATTCCATCAGTGTCTGATGGATGAAGAAGTGTTAATGAGCATGTAATCTCTTCCCGTGTGAAATGTCTTGAAGGCAGAGCACATGCTATGGAATCAGGAAGGTGGGGACCCACAGGTATGAGCTGTGAGCTTCAGTTCACAAAACTACTACTCAGGATGGTAAAACGCCATCCGAATGTGCACCATACCCACATTTAAGGATTTTAGTCTGGGCTGAGGAGGAACAGACGCTAACGGACAGGGATAGAGTGACAGACCTGGGGAGAACAATCCGATGGTGGAGGTTTCCACCCACTATCCCACTTCCTGAGCACCTGCCCCAGGGGGACTCTGAGATACAGCTCCAAGGTTCCCTCTCCAGTCTCAGGAGCTGCACTCCTCACCACTCCAGGTGTGGCTCTAGCATTAAGAGACACATTCTCTTTCTACAACACGGCCAGAACATTGAGCAGCTACTTCCTTTGTAACCAAAGAAACAGCTGTCAGTTTCAACACAAGAAGAGCTGGCTGTGTAAACCATGTTGAGGGATGGGGTGCTGGTCCCTAGCCTGGAGCCTCCCAGACAAAAGGGGGTCCAGGAGAGTTCTGACACCCCTGACCTTCATGCTACGCTGTCACAGCCCAGCTCCACTGCATCAGCTGTGATGACTGCTGAGCATCACAGGCCGCTTGGCCAAATCCTCCCCACCTCGTGCCACCCTCCTCCATGTGTTCTACTGTGAGTCTGGCCTTCTCCCAGATCAAAGTGCCGTGTGGATAAACTTTCAGATCCAGGTGAGCGGGACCAGATACCTGGGACCTTGGCACTATGAGGCACTGGACAGAATCAGTTTGAAGGAGAATCCCCAGTCACAGCCTTCAACCCTGCTCTTTAACTTGCAAAGAGCACACCATGAGATATTTTTAGTATCTGGATCCCTGTCTGAGGCCAATGCTCTGGCTTGCTTCCCTCAGAGTGTAACTCCTTCAGCTGAGGCCTGTGCATCATGGAGGGACCCGGAAAAAGGCAAGAGGGAAGATAATGGCTCCTGGAAGGAGGAGAGATGGAAGGTAGTGGGACTTGAACTCAGAGTCCCAGAGGTGCCACTACATCCCCACAATGAAGGAACAGAGCAGAAAGCAGTGGCCACTTCTGCAGCGTCACTTCTGCGGCTGTCAACACTTCAGTCACCCTCACCTCGGCCTGGAAGCCATATCTGCTCAGCGTAGCAAGCTCTTCTGCAGCATAGTAACTGCTGCAAGAGGATTTGACACCTACATCCCAAATGATGCCAACAGAAGACTCTCCTCCAAGTCACATTTCCTCAGCAGCTACGAAGTCAGAGCCTGCCCCACTGGCCCACTGGCTAGTTCCAGGTCAGGTTTCACTCTTCATCTCCTGGTGCTAGAGAAGGCTTTCTGTACAGAGCCATCAAGAAGCCACTGCTGTTCAGCCTGCAGGTAGGGACGGAGATCGGGACACCCACTTCTGTGCCCCAGCCCCGAGGGGTTCCCAGGGCTCAGAAACTGACATGGATTATCTCAGAAAATTCCCACACCAGCCCTAGGAGGCAGGTGCTGCCTCCCTCTGCGAACTGGAAAACTGGGTTAAGATTTGTCAAAGGCTGTGTAGACAGCAAATGGCAAAGCCAGACTTTAACCAAGCATTTGTTCTGCGGGGACTGTGTTCCTAACCACGGTATTATAATGTGCAAGAGAAAGCTCAGTGCTGGCTGAATGTGTGAATGAATGAACAATACTTTCAAAAGCAGTCTCAGGGCTGTGGGGAGACAGCGTCTCTAGAGGGACTGCCCTCACCCACCCTGGATGCCCTGGTGATATTCTCAGACCCCTCCCAAGGCACCTACTAGGCCCCTGAACACTCACTCTGAACCCAGAATTGCCAACTTCTGCAGGAGTGTAAGTGCTCAGTACTGCTGCTGGTAACGGCCAGAGCAACCACTGACTCAGCACCTCCTACCTGCAGGTGGGAAGCTCAGGGCTTTCATGCAGAGGCTCCTCTCATCCACCCATGGCCACACAGGGAAGGCGGGATCACACCCCTTTTGAGAACAGCGCGACCAGAGCTCACAGAGGTTGTGATGACCTTGTGATTAACGTCTGGGCACTTAAGTGAGGGCAGTGTTCAAACTCTGAGGGGCTGGCGGAACAGCGCAGGCCTTTCCTCCACCTCACAAGACCCACCACTCACCCTGAGTAATCAGCAAGTTGTGAAAATAAGTGCTGTTTCAACTCTTTAGCCGGAAAGCTCTGTATTAATCTAAAGCTACTGAGCATTTGCTATGCCAGTCCCTTCAGGGAAGAGGAGTCCTAATTCTCCCCAGCTAGAAACTGGCACCACCGCCTGCCCTGCTCCATGGGCTGCATCAGTGGTGACCAGCATCTCCTCAATCACCTTCCTACAAGGTTTCCACTGGACACCAAATCTGGCTAATTCTTCCCTGAGAAATCTCTCTTCTCAGGACGACCAAGTGTTGGTGAGGATGGAAGCAACCAGAACTCTCACAGCCTGCTGCTGGTGGGAGCACAGACTGGTCCAATCACCCTGGAAGATGGTCACAATATCCACTCAACCTGCCTTTGCTCCCAGGTGCCTACATGGACCATGAGACATTATCTAGAATGTATCTAGTACTGTTCTCAGCAGTACTATGCACAACGGTCCTGTATTGGTCCCTTCTGCTGCTGGAACAATCACCAGCTTAGTGCTACTTGTCATCTTACGGGTCTGGAGGTCAGAAATGGGTCAGCAGGGCCGCACTCCTTCTGGAGGTTCTAGAGCAGAATCCACTTCCTTGCTTCTCCAGCTTCTTCATGCATTCCTCGGCTCATGGCCCCTTCCTCCTCTTCACAGCCAGCAGTGGAGCACCTTCTCTCACCTCTGCTTCCATCATCACAGCTCACCCTCTTACCAGACACTTCTGCATCCCTCTTACCAGGATCTTTGTATCTACACTGGCCCACCCAGAGATTTTAACATCATCTCCCCATGTCAAGGCCCTTAACTTGGGACTTCCCTGGGGGATCAGCGGCTAAGAATCTACTATCCCAGAGGGCTTGGGTTTGATCCCTGGTTGGGGAACTAGATCCCACATGCTACAACTAAACAATCTCACGTCGCACAACTAAAGGTCCCACGCTGCAATGAAGATCAAAGATTCCATGTGCCGCAACTAGGACCCAGAGCAGCCAAATAAATAAATATTAAAAAAAAAAAAAACCCTTAACTTAATCACACTTACAAAGTCCCTCCACCACATAACATAACACAGTCACACGTCTTACCAGTGAATGGTACCTGTAACCAGGGGTGAGGTCATGGATAACTTCTGAGGGGCCGTTAATCGCCTCACCTCCAGCCCCAAACCAGAAGCAAATCCAAATGCTCATCAACAGTAGAATGAATGAAATAAAAGGTGGTAATTCACAGCGTATGAGAATGTACGGTCTATGGCTACCTGCAAAAGGATGACGCTCACGAAACTACACTGAGTCGATGCCACCAAACACAAGGGCACTTGGTGTATGAGTTTGTCTGCAGAAAGGGCAGAACCAGGCAACGTCTGTCTACTCTCCCGTTTCCTTCAACTCAGGGTCATCGCAGTCCTCTCAAAAATGTCATCACTTGTTTTCTATAAATCAGTATAGATACAGACATGCTAAATTCCCCAACTTTGCATCCCACAACTGGAGGTCAACAGTTATGAAAACTCAATGAATGCACTTATAACTAAAGAAGAAGGAGGAGGAGCAAATGCAGCAGCAACCGTGTCTCTGCCTCTCTCACACATTTCCACTCCACACGCACGTGTCACTTCACCTCTGGATGAAGCAGATCCCAGCTGACTTCCTGACCATCCACAATCCCACCAGTAGCCGTTCACCAGACAGACCTGGAATGTCCCCCTGACCCCTGCTGCACTGTCCTCCGACTCCCCTTCATTCCTGTCACTCACCTCACACACCACTCCTGCCCCCCAGGAACTCCCCCTAAACCTCTATAGGACTTGCAATACCAACCACACCATCTGCTCTTAATTGCTGCTGTCACATATTAATTGCTAACAGTGACAAGCACCTTAATCTAGTCTCCCCCAGTCAGACTACAAACTCTCAAGAACAGAAATCAGGTCTTGCCTGTTCAGGAATTGCCTGTCCAATTCTCCTAGTAATGACTGCATGTGAGCACCCAATGCTAGATCATAATAACTACTAATGATGCAACTGCCTTTGCTGAGCACCTAACATGCATCAGGTTCAGCACTCCTCAAATATGACCTCATTTCCTCTTCTCCCACCCAAAGAAGTGAGTGCTACCATGATCCCT